GAGAAGGAGAAGAAGAACAAGAACAAGAACAAGAAGAGGAAGAAGAACAAGAACAAGAACAAGAACAAGAAGAGGAAGAAGAAGAAGAAGGAGTCGTTTAGGCGGCCTTGCGAATTAGGTGAGGAGGTTAGGCAGTGGTTCTGGCGGCCTTGTTGCAGGAGGAAGGCGCCCCCCGGGTCTGTTGTATGGCAGGGGGGGGGGGGGCAGAGGCAGACCTTGCTTGAGGGAGAAATTTTCGGGAAGCGGAACTGCATCGTGGCGTAAAGTTGTTCTCGTTTTTTTTTATGTGTCGTTTGTTTATTTGTTTGTTTGAAAATGTGGCTCTTTAGGCCGTGTTTTTTTTTTTTTTTTTTTGTTATTGTTTTCATTGGTGATCGCTTGTTTTATTTGAGTTGATGAATGTTAAACTAGTCAGTCTTCTCTCTCTCTCTCTCTCTCTCTCTCTCTCTCTCTCTCTCTCTCTCTATATAGTATATATATATCATATATGTCTATATATATTCTATAATTATATAAGTATATATGCACATGATACTATGTGTCTGTTGCAAGTATATATAATATTTATGTATATATAATTATATATATATATATATATATATATTATATATTTATATGATTGCATATTCATATATATATGCTGATCTATATATGCATGTATATCTGTACAGTTTGTACTGTATATAATATATATATATATATAAATAATATATATATATATATATATATATACATAAATAATAATATAGCTGTTTTCCCTGGTGTCGATCCCGGGAGTCCCTGGCAGAGCCGCCGCGCCCCGGCCTCGAGGCTTCCTCTTGGCCTTTCCCTTGAATGTCTCTGCTTGCTGTTGCTTTCTACCTCTTTCTTTATGCAAAATAGTCAGCTCTTTCACTTTTATTGTTGTTTTTAAGCTTTTTTTTATGTCTCTTACCCAGCGACTGCGGCTCTTTCGCTCTTCTTCGTTTATTATTTTTTTTCTTTTCCGCTCTTTTTTTCTTTCTTTCTTAATTTGTTATTATTTTTTTTCTTTTCCGCTTTTTTTTCTTTCTTTCTTTCTTAATTTGTTTATTGTTCTTTCGGTGATTAATGGGGCCTTTCAGACGAAAACTTAAATGTATATTTTTTTAAAATCGTGTTTTTAATTCGATTGTCTTGTCTGCTTTAAAGTAATGAAAATTCCTCAAATGGATTCGTAATTCGTAATAAAAATGAAAATAAATGGAAAATAAGAGGCGAAGAGAGCAGAGAGAGAGGAGAAGAGAGAGAGAGAGAGAGAGAGAGAAGAGAGAGAGAAGAGCAGAAGAGGAGAGGAGAGGGAGAGAGGGAGAGAGAAAGAAGAGAGAGAGAGAGAATAAGAGAAAGGAGAGAGAAACAAAACAAAAATATTGAAAATCTTTCCGTTGCTCGTTGAACAACGCATAAGGTCATTGTTGTTGACGTCTGCAAGTGTGATGACTGACACTTGGACACTGGCATCGGCAGTCACAGCTGTGGTGGTGCGGGTGGGAGAGCAATCTGCCCGGGCGCCTGCGGGGCATATGGAGTCCGGGGGGGTGGGGGTGGAGGCGGGGGGTCGGTGTTAGGGCTTTCATTAGGACGACCCCTTTACGTTATGTTTTTTTTTCTCTTTTTTCTCTTTTTTTTTTTACAGTTTTGTTTTATTGTCGTTTTTTTTCTTTCTGTCTCTCTCTCTCTCTCTCTCTCTCTCTCTCTCTCTCTCTCTCTCTCTCTCTCTCTCTCTCTCTCTCTCTCTCTCTCTCTCTCTCTCTCTTCTCTCTCTCTCTCTCTCTCTCTCCTCTCTCTCTCTCTCTCTCTCTCTCTCTCTCTCTCTCTCCTCTCTCTCTCTCTCTCTCTCTCTCTCCTCTCTCTCTCTCTCTCTCTCCTCTCCCTCCCTTCCCTCTCCTCCTCTCCCTTCCCTCTCCTCTCCCTCTCCTTCCCTCTCCCTCCCTCTCCTCTCCTCCCTCCCTCCCTCCCTCCCTCCCTCCCTCCCTCCCTCCCTCCCTCCCTCTCCTCCCCTCCCTCTCTCTCCCTCCCTCCTCTCTTCTCTCTTTCCCCCTCCCTCCCTCCTTCTCTCTTTTCTCCCTCCTCCCCCTCCTTCCCCAAATATAGTACTAAATTATACTACATTTCCTCTTGATTGCCATATCAGCAAAGAGAAACTTCACAAACAGAAATATTTTCTTAACATTTACTTGACAGTTGTAATAGACTTCAGTGGCCGGTCGGGTGGGGTGGGGGGTAGGGGGTAGGGGGTAGGGATAGGGGGTCGGTGGGTAGGGGGTAGGGGGTAGGGGGAGACAAGGGAGAAGAGAAGCAAGGGCGGAGGAAGATGGGTAGAAGGGGGAGTGGAGAAGGAGGAATGGGGGAAGGAGAAGGAGAGAAGGAGAAAGGAGGGATTAGGAAACGGTAAAGGGAGGAGAGAAGTAGATACGAAGGAAGGAGAGAGTAAAGAAGGGGAAGGAGGAAGAGGAAGGAGGAAAGGAGAGAGGAGAGAAAGAGAAGAAGGTGGGAAGGAGAGAGAAGAGAAGGGTAAAGGAGAGGATATGGAAAGGGGTTTTAGGAGAGAGGAAAATATGGGAAGGAGAGCAGGAGGAAGGGGGAGGGAGAGGAGAGAAGGGAGAAGTGGAAAGAGGAGTAGAAGGGGGTGGGGGGGGGTAGCAGCGTTTTGTAGGCGTCTGCGGTTAGAAAGCTGCGCGAACGATGGAAATACCAACAAAA